AATCGTACGGTGTCGAATAATTTGGTGTCGAATAAATCTGTGTCGAATCGAGCGGTGTCGAATCGTACTGTGGTCAAACGGAACCCGCCCCAATAATTGTTACTTTGTTATTAAAAATTATACTATTACATTGTACTAGTATATTTTTTTTTTAGAAAAAAGAAGAGGTATTTGCCAGAGTCGAGCCCGCTGGTACCGACAACGGAGTATTCCGTACGCCGGTACCAGTGGAGGAAGAGGAAGAGGAGAAAGAAGAAGAAACGGAGGAAGCGGAGGAAGAAGAGGAAGAGAAGGAAGAGGAGGACGAAGAAGTCGTGGCGCCCGTGGGAGCGTCACATATATAAAAAATATATATAATTATTAATAAAATATAAATATATGAACACAAAATATATATCAAATTTAAACAATACTGAACGGTATTTATTTAATACAGAAAAGTACCTAAACCCGATTCCCTTAAGAGGGTACTGGATACCGACTATAGAGACCTGTAAACCGACTTTTTCCTATGACGTTTGGTGTCGTATTTACTTCATTAAATCTAAAATGTTTTTACAAAACTAAGTAAATTGTGCTAAGAATTAGCGCTTGTTCTTTGGAATGTCAAAATTCAGCATAAATTTTTTCTTATACAGTTTCCTTCTATAACCTCACTATATATTCATGTATGTAGAATTATTTCTAAGCTTATGTACATATTTACAATAAACAAGCGCCACACATACGACAAAAACAAATCTAATGAGACATTCAGATTACGGTATGACTATCTAATTGATGAGAACAACGTCTTAGTGTTATGACAATATAGGTTATCATATGCTATCATTCTGAATGAAAAAAAGAGTTTCAAAAGGCATTATATATCTATTTTTAAAAGCACTAAATAGTTGTTTATATGTATTTGCTTCTATAGAAGCACTTTTTATGTAATGCAGTAAAGAAACTTAAAAATTAGAAAAATTTAGGTTTTTAAAACGTCGGTTTTCAGGTCTTTATCCAGTTTACAGGCCGGGCTCCAGTACCCTCTTAAAACTTTACACATTTGTAGAGGCATATGTGAGTTATTAATTCCCAACGTGACTTTTGTGGGTTCTCAGGAAATAAGGGAAGAGAGGGTCAAAAGTATGGATTTTGGAAAATGTTCCGGAGGCAGTAACTTTCGCTTGAAAAAAAATATCGACATGAATCTTGCAGCAAAAAATCACAAACAATTCAAGCTTTTAAATGATTTACAATTTTGTATTACATAAAAACATTGAAAACATATAAAAATAAAATATGTACAATATATAAAATATATAATCAGTTTATACACACATAAAAACAAATGTGCACTAAAATGTGGTAAAATAGGGCTACAGACGAAGGTCTACGTAAAAAACCTAACGCGCTTTTAGTGGCATCTCCTGGGCGGCGTGGAAGACCACTCCAATAACAATTTTTATAAAAGTATGTAGGAGCAAAATTATATAATATTATTTCGAAGCGTATGTATATTTCTTACAAGTCTTATTATTCGTATATCTTTAGATTTAACGGGTGTTCACTCACAACAAATTTGTGTATTTGTAACTGTAGAGGTGAAAAATATTTTCTGTACTCACCTCTACAATATTCGCCGATTACCGGTGTACGGCTCAACCGACAGATTTAAAACAGAAAAACAGAGTCGATGTAAAACGTGTAAAGCGAGATAAGAACAGAAGATCCGAGTACGCCGTTGAGAGAAGACGCTCGGAATATTGCGCGCTCCATGTGAGAGATCGATCTATTGTTCGGTGCTAATTTATTTGCTCGTATTCTTGTCAATATATATATATCACTTTTAAATATAAAAATATAATAACATTTATTCATCAATAAATTTGTTTAATTACATAAAACAAAAAAAGATCCTACAAGTATATAATTATAATGTACTTCAAATGTAATAATAATATACTAAATTGTATTTCGCTATTTATTAATAACTTAATTTGCAAATTATAATTATTTATAATACTATTAAAGAAAATTGTATTTTTGTAATATATCATTATTGCAAAAATACATAACACTGTAACGTGAAAGAACTCGATGATAAAGTTTTGACTACATATAACGACTGTGTCGAGGGCTATCAAAAATTGCACAAGATGAAACTCTATTTTGATACAAAAAAACGCTTTGTTGTCAACTAATTCGACAAATCGGGCTGTCAACATATAGGGATCGTAACGTGTGAAACGAGCGGAGAGTGAAGACCGCGCGCGTCTGCGTTATTTAAATATAGAAAATAAACATATATATATGCAAAAATATTTACATGTTAACTAATAATATGTCTTACATAAAATATTCTATTTTATATTAGTTCACATATTTACATATACTTTTATATTTTTAATATGATTGGACAAATATCACATTTTAGATGCAAATAATCTTAAGTAAATGATTCATATATATGTATATTACATATTATGTCTTTTAAATTTTAAGTACTATTTGTAATTATACGATAAGTTTCATTACGTATTTCACAAAAAAAGTTTTATGTTAACAAATATATATATTGCAACGCTTTTTCCTTCGAAGCGCTGCAATGAGAAAAAGTGACTCGCCTCCGCTGCGTGGAAAGTCACCGATCGGGTGANCCCGAACGAGAGCTGAACACCCGGAACCGTCAATTAATTTTAGGTTGTGATTTGGGCGCCAGGCACGTGCTTCACGTGCCGATTGTGTGACGTCCCGTCGCTGGTATTCAGGCCGGCTAGCTCAATTACTCCGAACGGAGAGGGGCGGGGTACACAAGTTAGTAAAAGAAAGGAGAATACGCCACGGGGAAGATTAAATAAAATACGCGAGAATTTAAAATAAAGATTCACAAAGAAGGGTTTATTGCGTCGATATGCAAGAAATATTACAAAACGATTTTACAGAAGAAAGTTTAATATAGTCAGCGTTATTCGCCGAATTCTATCGCGCGAGAAGGCTTCAGCTGTTTTTATGTAAATTCCGGAGTCGCGTGCGCCAGACACCACGCCGGTGTTTACGCGACTCGGCGAGCCGGGTCGTTGGCCGGATTTACACTCGCGTCTGATCAGCTGTTTGCCTGTTTTGAACGACGATAACCAGCGTTACAGACTTCGCCGGTTCTACGCTCTCTGAATTTACTAATACGCGATCGCCCCTTAACAAATGTCGATAGCCTTTCTATGATCACTTTTAGTCGAGTCGACAGCACCCGTCGGTCGCGATATCGCAATCGTTCCCTGTGAGTAGTCTATCACTCTCACGGCTCCGGGAAAGCTTGCCGCGAAATTCGCTCTTGTTTTTCCGGGCTCAGCGCACGTGCACGCGGTTCGTGTACAATATCGAGAATTCGCCTTGCGCGATCTCCGATAACAGTAACGCGTGACAATAGCACCCGTACTTTTCACGTAACGATTTCAAGAGTTTTTCCTCCGGGGCGCGTGACCGTTCGATAGCTGAGGTGGCGGGTANTCCACGCCTTAACGACGTAGGCCGATAACTTATTATTCGTCGCCCGATTGCGACTGCTCGCTCCACTCGAAAAACCCGAATAATAATTATATCTTCGGACGGGGCACTTTGGTCCCCTACGCGACAATGTGGGCGGTACAGGGCCCTCGAGACAATACAAATAAAAATTATAACGCGAGTGGCGCAATACGGAGAGTAAATTTCGGCTTCGCGCCAATACCTCACCGGTGTAGATTCCCCGGACAGGATCCAGTCACTCTGCAGACTCGCCTCCAGCGGCCGTCCACGTCCGTCACCGCTGATCTGCTCAACGACCTCTCGCTAGCCGCGTTCTTTCTCTCTCGTCCACGCTCCGACCTCGCACTCAGTCCTGGCACTCGTCCTCACGATCGCTATCGCGGCACTTGCGATTTGCGTAGATCGCTCGCTCTTTTTTGCTACTCGATTACTTCTCGCTGAATTCCAACGATTCTAACAATTCTCTCGCCGATTCTACCAATTCTCTAACAAGTTTCTGAATACTAACAATTCTGATTCTCGCCCGCTCTGCAGCCGCTTTTATACCGTCTCGCCGGTATCCCTTCGGAGGGGCTCCCCTCAGCGGGGGCGATCTCGTCAACCTATCAAATTGATTAGGCGTTGAGACCACGTGTCTTGATCCGTCGCCGTTGCTTCCGTCGAATCTTCAACGGCTCTTTTCAGGGTCGACTCGGACCCGCTGAAGTTGTTGATGTTGTTTATTGTTTTTGCTGTCCGGTCTTCACCTTGCCGGTTGTGCGGCTTCGTCACGGCTGTTTTGTTTTCCGTCAGCATCGCTCAACGGATTTTAGTGCCCTTGGCGCGCCTTGTCTCCCTCTTACGCGCCTTTTGCCCTCAGCGTCGAATTTCAGGAGTTGTTTNGCCCTTGTTCTCCGGCCTCTCCTGGTTTCCCGGCGCCGTCTTTCTCCTGGTTATCTCCTTGGCCTCCTCGTTGGTGCCGGNGAGGCTCGCATAGCCGGCCGTTTTATTTTATACGGGGAAATAAAATTGATTAAGATCGGTTTTTCTTTTAAGTCGCGTGTATGCCCCGGAGGATTAACGGTTTCCGAGTGCGATTTCGGATCCCGGAGGCGAGTCTTTGTGACTAGGGCGGGCGGTTGCTGCTGCAACCGCTCGGCCACGTCACAATATATTTGCTGTTTATATATATATATATATAAACGTTGCTGCGCTTGTGTGCGCGACCCTCACCACCTCTGTTGCTCAAGTTGCACCCGGCTAGAGTTTGCACCACTTTACGTAACAAGCGCAGAACGTGCGTTGCTTTGTGACCGGTTTGGTGGAAAGGAGACAGAAAATAATATGTCTGCACTCTTCTACAGCCAAGCGTTACGCACACGTACGCGGTTCTCGCTGGTGTGCGTAGTATCGAGGAGCTGAGCGGTGGGGGCTCTGCCCCTCGATGCTCTCGTTGCTGTTCTGCACGATCTGGCATCTATGGGTCGGGTAAACTTCGTGAGATCGCCAATCGGCGACGATCTCTCGGCTCGGTCGGCTCGTCCGATTTTCCAAAGATGGGAAAAAGGAGAGTGTTGTTTTTTTTTATTACGCTACATAGACCCTTTGCTAATTGTTTATAATAAAATTGCTTGTGGCGCCGGAGTTTCCATTTGCGCCGGCTGCTTTAAATTTTATAAGCGGTGTTTGCCTTGACCCGGAAATATCCGCGTTTGTTTGGAAAGCTGCTCAGAGTGTTTAAACAATAAATTTTTCTTGCTCGTTATAGCAAAATTTCGGGTTATTGCTAAGCGCGGTTTATCTTTTCGGGCGCCGATGTAATTTCCGTTTGCTCCTTCCATTCGAGTTATTTATTGCTTTTCATTGTTCACAAAACAAGGGATTGTTATGCGTTGGCGCGTCGCGTTGCAAGAAAAAGAGGACCGTGGAATCCCCAGGACGTAACACATGCTTATTCACTGATTTTTGTTATTTAAGATATCGGTAACTATTGCAAATCTATCAAAAT